ATTAAAGTCCTAATATTGCGAGATTAAAGCCATAATATTACGAGATTAAAGCCATAATATTATGAGCATAAAGCCATAATATTATGAGCTTAAAGTCATAATATTATGAGATTAAATTCATAATATTATGAGATTAAAGTCATAATATTTTTGAGATTAAAGTCATAATATTATAAGATCAAAGTCATAGTATTATGAGAATAAAGTCATAATACTCTAAAATTAAAGTCGTAATATTATGACATTAAAGTCATATGAAAATAAAGTTGAAGAAATTTATTGGGGTTGTTTACGACTGACTTTTAAAGACACTACAAATTGTATAGGCTTTTATCAGGTGAACAGTAACGTAGTTTTATAATGTGGTTATGTCTGATTGAATTGATGATTTTATGTAGGTACATGCCTGAACACAAATTCAACAGTCATAATATTATGAGAATAATGTCATAATATTACGAGATTAAAGTCATAATATTCTAAAATTAAAGTAATACTGTACCCTTTACACAAAAAAGCATGCAGTTATTGCATTAAAATGAGGAATGTTGATCAACTTGTCAAGTTGTTCTTTAGTATTGCTTAAAACAAATAGTTAATCTTTTAGCACATTAGCATCAAATTATCAGTAGCAGGACTTGGAAAATGTGTAAACGACTATAAACTGAAGCTGTATTGTAATTAATGGATGCATTGACAGATTTAGTCGTCACGTAGTTAATTTGGATGAAAGCATATTAATCTAACAGTGACCCAAGTCATCACGGACTACTTCATGAACACAGAGACGTGTGGGTATCCACAGAAGGTGTGGGGGAAATAAGGAGATAACGAGGAACGGAAAATAGACACGTTATGTAAGATTATGATTTTTTTCTCATAATATTACAACTTTTATCTCATAATATAATGACTTTAATGTCATAATAATAATTTAAAAAATCTTGTTGTGTGGCTCTAATACTGACTCCATGTTTTCTCTACTGTGGAAAAAAGAGTAAACTAATCAGAAATATTTGTGCATGCTGTCTGGGAATAATTTGTCCTTCAGAATCCATCTCAGAGTCCTCAGACCATCGAAAGTATCAGGTCAGGTCAGGACTTTGCACTTTCCCTCTTGAGTTGGGGCAGGGGTGTCCTGATCCTGGAAGGTCTCTATCCTGCAGGTTTTACTTGTTTCTTTGCTCCAACACACCTGACTCAGTGACTGAATCACCTCTTCATGTTCTGCAGAAACCTGTCAACCAACCAGCCATTCAAACAAGGTGTGTTGGAGCAGAGGGATCTTTCAAACAGGCAAAATATGCCATTTTTTTATGAATATATAGTGAGGTGCAGCTAATGCTTTGATTAAGTCCTCCAATACAGCTGTTTTTTAAATAATTCCTGAAACCTCACACACCACCTCAAACAGTTTCCACGGCTTGTGAACTCACGGTTGGTTCCAACAGCGATGAAGGCAGCAGCGGTGAAGAACAAGACGAAGAGCACGTCGCAGCGGAAAAGGAACCACCTCAGCGAGGACAGGTAGTGGAACCAGGTGGCCGTGTGAGTGTTCAGGGCTTTGTGAAAGAGCGTCTCAAAGTAGGTCTGCCGCCCAAACGCCCGAATCGTCCATAAACCCTTCAGTGAGATGATGAGGTGAGAGAAGATAGGGCTCCGAGCTGCAGGGAAGAGCAGAAACATATCTAATGTCATGATCTGTGTTTTTGTCTTTATTTTCTTAGTGTTTTTCTGTTCCCCTGTGTTTTCCTCTCCCTGTTGTTTCAGCTCCATAGTGTTGTAGTCAAGACCACCTAACCTGAGACCAAGTCAAGACCAAGACCACAGTGTCTCGAGACTGAGACAAGACTAAGACTTTTAGGGTTTGGACCAAGTCGAGACCAAGACTGAGGGGGGGCGAGACCGAGACAAGACCAAGACTTTTAGGGTTTGGACCAAGTCGAGACCAAGACTGAGGGAGGGCGAGACCGAGACAAGACCAAGACTTTTAGGGTTTAGGACCAAGTCAAGACCAAGACCACAGTGTCTCGAGACTGAGACAAGACCAAGACTTTTAGGGTTTGGACCAAGTCGAGACCAAGACCAAAGGAGGGCGAGACCGAGACAAGACCAAGACTTTTAGGGTTTGGACCAAGTCGAGACCAAGACCATGGGAGGGCGAGACCGAGACAAGACCAAGACCAGATAAAAAAATAGTGTCCTAAAAGATGGAGTATTGTGTACACATGTACATTGGGGGAAAAAGGTATTTTGTCTCTCATAGTTGAGGTCTAACTATGATGTCAATCACTGACCTCTCTCATCTTTAAGTGGGAGAACTTGAACAATTGGAGCTGACTAAACATTTTTTGTCACACTTTAGCTAACTTAATATGTATTGCTAATATTGACAAAATCTTTGTGTGAGGGCAGAGGAAATTATTTTGCTAAAGAGGCAGATTGTTAAAGTTAGTGACGATAAAAGTTTAAAGTTGTCCCATCGTCTCTGAAAGTGAAGTACAGCCAAATTTACAAGTTGCTGTATGCTTTCTCCTGGTTGTTGTTGTTTTACAGTGATATTATTTATGAATAATGTAGCCAGTTTTTTACTTAAAATTTTGAAGACATCCTTTACCGCTCCCAGAGAACCAATGCTCACTTTCTGGGAGTGCTGTGTGCAAGTGACAGGGGGTGTGGATGGGTGACAGCCAGTAACAAAAATACATAAATAGCAACGAGTCCAGTTTGGACTTGAATTAGTATGTTTTAAATCTAATGAAAGCAAGATTGTTAACAAGTAAATTGGACACAACATTCTGGCTATTTAGTGATATTTCCACAGTTGTGGTCTTGACTGGTCTTGGAATAAAATTCTGAGTCCTCAATGTCCGAGACCGAGTACAAATGCTGTCGAGTCCGAGACGAGACCAAGACCATCAAAAAGTGGTCTTGAGACCGGTCTTAAGACCAAGACCGGTTTCAAGTACTACAACACTACAGCTCCAGCCCCGCCCACGCACACCTGATTCCTCTAGTCTCCCCAGGTGTTTCTCCTTTACTCTTAATTTGTTTGCTTTATATTTTGAGTCTTGTCCTCCTGTCTTTGTGGGACCATTGTGTTTCAGTCATGTGCTTCGTCTCCCTCGTGCCCGTCTCCCCAGAGTTCTCTGTGAGTATTTGGAGCTGCTTCGTCAGCCTTTTTGTTTTATTCAAAATAAACCTTTTGTTCCATTTATTGAGCTTGCCTGCACCCTGATCTGTTCCTGCACCGATCCTCACATCTAAGACTCATTCACAAATGTAGCAAGAAAATGTTTGGGGGAAAAAATGACACCACTTATTATGAGCCTTTATGAGTAAAACATGAAAAAAATACACAGAATATCATGCAATAAAAGAATTCTTACTAAAAACAATCAAATCTGCTGACTGTTCATTCAGCAGCCAACAAACAGCCTGATTACAAATCAGTCTGGAATCTCTCTGTTCATCGTTGTTTGCCAAAGTCTTGTCAACAGACACCAAAGCACTGGAAAAACCTTCCAGTGTGTGTAAACTCTGACATATGTGAGGAATGTGGCTCAGACAGTCGACTAATCCTGGTTTCCACTGCGTTCCGTCTGACGGGCTGCGTAAGGAACAACACCAGGATGGGGCTGGAGGAAATCCCTGCTCCGTTCATCTCCATGACCCCCGCGTGCTCCCATCGGCTCTGGAAACAAGCCGCCATCACCAGCGAAGCGCGCGCTAAGCGAGGGCAGAGCGGGAAAGTCCAGGAAACAGAACGCCATCTTTGCAGCAGCCCAATGTCCTGTTTTCACTTTGGAAGACTGTTCAAACCTGCTCTGCTTTGTTACGTCCGAAACATGATACTTCCTGTGAGCTCCAACATAAAAACAGACTGAACTCTTTACTGCACCATCATATACAAGCAGTGGTTGGACAAACACCTCCTGAACACCTCTAACTGATACAAAATTGTTTCACACAGGTATGTTTGTATCAGATTTCAGACGATTTCATTCATCAGCAAAATGTGTCTTAAAATAAATTGAAGACATACAAAACATTTAGTTTCCCCAAGAAAACAAGCTTATTACAAACATATTTTGAATAACAGGGACCTTCACTCATGACGTCACACATATCTTTCACAATGATCAGACGGACTTGATTCTAGAGAGATTCAGTGTTATTATTTTAACAGTAACAGACATGCCTTGAGCAAATGACAACACATCCGACTTCAGGAATCACAGCTGAAAGGTTTGCTGGAGGATCGAGGTCTACGACAGATTTAGGAAGCGAGCTGAATTGTTAAAAAATTTGAGTTTTTTAACGGTGTCTTAGTAGGCACTTTGATAAATGCATCATCCTACCCCGGCAGTGAGTCCATGTTTCCAGGTGAGCTTCAGTCACTCTTTTTATTTCAAAATCTATCTAAAAGTTTTATCTATTTTTTTCTGCTTTGGCTTGAAATTTTGTTGAGTAATTGTGTTGCGTTCTATGTCTGCAGGGCTCTGTGATTGTTTGAATAATGTAATGGAAGTAATGATGGACTTACGTCCTACTTTTCAACCCTTGATGACTAATAAAACTGATTTAAAAAAAACTCAATCAGAATCTATACATTGAGCCTTATAAATAAAAAAGGAAAAACAGCCCTAAAATTGAAAATTGTATCGAAGTCCCTACTATACTCCGCAGCGGCAGAAAGCGGCCACATCTCCGTGTCCGGCAGGTCCGTTCTCTCCCAATTGAAGGCCTATGTGTAAAATGCACGGCCCACCACTGAATAACAGTAAGGTTTGCTGTATTTATGTATCGACAGAAAGTGTAGAGATAGGATCCGGATGGTCCGGTGTTGGTCTTTTTTTTCTGATAAAAAGTTTCCTGGTCAAATTCAGTTCGTCCCATTGTTTGTATCCAGCTATTAGCTAGCATCTTAGCATGGGAAAAGTGATCAAAATCCCTGTGAGGATGATGGCTACAGCCTGAGTCACTGTTATGAGTACTGTAGCACAATGTTTTGTGGTCCTCCTGGTGGAGTTTGATGCTGTTTTCCCAAATTAATTTGAGTTTAAACACAGCTAATTTGGCGTAGCTCTATTCAAGTTAATGGAGCTGATACGAGAGTTTGTACGCTCATCAGTGTGGACCTAGCCTGACCCTTGCCTTCCTACACAGCTCCGCTCAGTTCTAGTTTCCCTTCACTGCTCCTTCTGGGACTTCTCCCATTGACAAGGATTTCGCTGGCAGATTTTTAGCCGGGCCAATCAGAGAACAGAACGACAACTTTCTGCACAGTGTCTGCTTGTAGTTTATTTTACCTGGGCCAATCAGCAAACAGAAGGAGGAGTTTTGAACGACGTCGATGTTTTGTGCAGTGTCTGCTAGTTATTTTAGCATACGGCAGTGGAGGAGGTGAATGAAGCCAGTCTGTGTTGATAAGGCTTCCAAATTAAAATAAATCTGTCAGACAAAGCAGCAGCTCTCATTTACGTTTGGCTCGGTATACTTCTCCTCTCAGTAGGGTTATTTACAGCAGGGGTTCTTAACCTTTTTGACCTCGGGGCCCAGTTTGTTGAACATAAAGTGTCACGAGGTCCAGTCAGACATTACCAATGTATGGATGAAAATGATAATTATTCTAAATCTTGGTTTAATTTTTATTGTATTTACATTATAACTAAACTATCACAACTAACATAACTAAATTAAATACACTTACAGTTTAAAAGTAAAACTCCTGTCAAATAATCACAAGACATGATTATGACAAACATTTTTATATTGTAACCTGCCCATAACAATTTGAACAAAAACAAAGGGCAGTCAACAGACCACTCAGGCTTATCAGCACAAAAATATATATAAGTACAATGAAAAAAAGCCTTTTTAAACTTTTGCAACCAGAAGCTGATATTCATATTAGTGACAAACAATAACGGTAACAACAGCTTTTTGACAAGTTTAAAATGTCTTTAAAATACATTCAAAATGTTTAAAAAT